CAATGATGATTGAAGGCGAGAACTCAGATTCCACTCATAAATGTCATTCGACATTTTTTTTAAACAATATTTATTGCGCGTTGAGTTGAACAAATATGTACAGCTTTCCATTCAACGAATGTTTACACAGACAATAACATTTTGTACAAATATATACAGCTCAGCATTCGATAAACACGGATCATACATATGTTTTACACACACATTTTGAATAAGGTAGGTCAGCATGAGAAACGCGCTGCCGAAGTTGTTTACCTACGTGATTTGATCTGAAGGGAACCGAAAGAATGACAGGTTTTTGCCCTGCAAGGTTTGATTCTTGCAGTGCAGAACGGAGCACACCGTCCCTCCTGCCATCTTCACTGACTGTTTACAGCGGCGAACGCGTCATACTTGGTGCACTACAACAGGACACTGTAGCGTGTCATCCGCAGAGAAGGACGCCGGCATCAATATGCGGTGACAGGTCGCGCAATGGACCTTTTCCGAGAGGCGTTCTGCGCACGCGCGAGCGCCCGATGCCAAAAATCGAGGAAATTCGGAAGGAGGCTGGATATCAGCGAGTAGAAGACGTATCTGCAGCATATATATAATTGTGTTACACAAAAAAAGAACGTCGACGGAAAGGAAAACACGACGTCTGGGTGGACGCCACGGATGCCCCCTCTTTAATGTCGCGTTGGGCAGGCGCCGCTGCTCAGAGAGCGAAGAAACTGGTAGCGTAGCTCCCATTATCGATTGGTAGCGCAGGTAGGTCACTTCCTCGATTTTTAGTTCGTTCAGCCGCCGCCTGGTGCCGTCGGTACGCGGAAAAGGTCCATTGTAACCGCTGATAGTCGTCGCGCCCGGCCTAGCCTGGCGCCCACGTGATCGCCCGCCCGCGTTTGGCATTGCCGGTGACGCATATCGGTCACGTGTTCTGGTGGGAGGAGAAAATGGGAGAGGAGGGGAGGGAAAATAGGGAGAGGGACACACCCAAATTATCCCGCGCCACCAGGGGAGGAATGGGCGCGGCCATCGCTCCATCTAATGCAAATGAGCGGAGTGTCCTGTATTCCCCCTGGTAAAGTGTTTGGTGGTCTCTTGGTTCCGTTGTCGAAGGTGGGGTTTCGTCCTTCTTTCTCTCTATTTTGTTTGTTCAAGGGTTTGGCGGTAACGCGTGACTCATTTTCGGTAACGTGTAAGACGCACTCGTTCCCCTTTCAAAGCAGTAACGGGTAACGGAGATACGTTACTTGCTACTTTTTCTTCCCTAACCCTAAAAAAATTACGCTTCTATTTTTTCGTGTTTTTAGGTTCCAAGCCATGTGGACTTCTAGCAGTTTTTTTTTTTCGCGTTTTGCTTTTCACTTTATCGTGTGACTATTTAGGTGATACCGTAAAAAAAGATAAAGCAATCTTTAAAGGTATAAAAGCGTCGGAAACAACAAGGACGTCTTCGTCCTTGATGCTGTCAGCGCTTTTATTCTTTTTAAGACCATCACCCAACTGGCAGAAATAACCACCTTGATAATATAATCATGTTCCCTTTCTGCACGGATATAATGTTCCTTGGAATAAGCCGCTTATGCATACCTCTTAGAGTCGAAACAGTGTACGCGATAATTCAAAATTTAAAAAAAAAGTGACGCGAAAGTAATTTGCGCTACATTTTATCGGTAACGGTTACGCGTTCCTTCTCTTTTGCAAGTAACGTGTGACGTATTTCGTTTCGTCTTTTCTGTGACGCCTACAACAATACTTTCGGTGACGCACTTTTTAGAGAATAATTCGTTCAGCTGTATTTCAAACATTTTCGTGTAGGTGTAATTTTTTCTCGCAAACCAGGTTTTTTTTTTGTCATGCTTAATCTTATTTATGTTCTCCATCTGAGTTGTGAGGCTATGCAAGTGTCTGCCTTGCCTTTTGTATTTTCATTTTTCTCTCTGAATCAAATTGAGCATCACCGCGAATTTTACAGCAGCAGCTGTTAGTGGCCCGTCCCCTTGTTTTGCGACGGCGTGTGCGTAAACGAGGAAAGTTTCCCCCCTAAATTTGTCGAGAAATTAACGTCACATGAGGTGACGTCACGGGACCAGCAAAAAAATTTCAGGTTCCCCGCTAAATTTAGCAAAAAAATCTGCTATACGTCAGGTGACCTATGCGGCAGTTTATTTTCCACGCTGAATCTAGCGTAAACATTGACGTTACTTAACCTATGCGACAATTCAGTTTCCCCGCTCAATTTTGCGGGAAAATTGATGTCACGTGGTCCATGCAGGAGTTCGGTTTCCACGCTAAATTTGGGGGAAAACCAAATCCCGACCTTGAAATCGTTTATTTCTCAACAACGCATAGACACTAAATGGACGCAACGGCATTTAAATATCAGATCACCGTACGTCGCACAATCAGGGCAATGTGGATCATCAACGCCATATCCTTTTCTTTTTAAACATGAATTATAATATGAAAAAGGTGCATTCAACTCACAATACGTTTCCTGCCGAACATCTGGTGGAATCAAAAGAAGCGAAAAAAACGCGTCGGTACTGCGGCACTAATCATCCGTCTCTAAACCCTTCTCCCAGCGTGAATAGTTACGGAAGGTATTCTCCGCTTTCTTTCGACTAGAATTCCAAGCATCGCGGCCCGTGCACTTCTGCCTTCGAGAGATAACAAAGTAAGTAGAATATACAAATCACGAAAAAACTGTGTGTGGGCAGGCGAGCTGGTGGATGTTGATCATAATGTAGAAAACCCGAGACTGTGGTAAAAGCAAAAAAACGGAGTCGAAGAAGAAAGACAGGGGAAAAGAACGTCTCTTCCCCTGTCTTTCTTCTTCGACTCCGTTTCCTTGCTTTTACCACAGTCTCGGGTTTTCTACATTATGACACAAATCATCTCGCCGTATGTTGGCGAAGAGCGAAATGCTACGTCATCATCGTGCCGAAGTGGTGCGTGGCAGCCCTAACCCTAAGCTACGTGGGCGACAGCGTATACCCCAAGCAGTTGGAGAAGAGGGGAAGGGGGAACCCCCCTCTAATACGCCCAGACACCCTCTTGGGCGTCAGGGACGCCAATTTGCTTCCCCTTAGGGGACTAATCCATTCCTCAAAATTCTTAGAAAAAAAAAAAAAAAGAAAACAGGCTTGCCCCTCTTTCCCGCTCGCGGCTTCGACAGCATTGCGTACAACTTATGCCATGGAGTGTGGTCACGTGCCTCTCTTCGACGTGCTGATCGGCTCACTTGGACCGCAGCCTTCGCTGCTTGCCAAGTTAACGTGAGACCGAGTATGGTTAATCCGAAAAGTGTGGCATGCTAATCGTTGTCGCACTATAGAATTGTTACTGACAGATCACGGAAGGCAGGTTGGGGCTTATTGAGCTAATTTTTTTTTGGTGCTGGGTGGTTCGTTCTATAAAATTATTATGTATAATTCTACACTCTAAAAAAAGTATGTGCGTCTAATTTCACGCACAGCACTTGAATAGCCAATCAGCGGAACTTACGGAGGCAGCTCAGCAAACGACGATGTCGAAACGGATATTTAGACTAAAAAACGCAGTTACGTTTTACATTGCTTCATGTCACACCTCAGACTGCGTTTTTAGTCTAAATATCCGTTTCGACATCGCCGTTTGGTGAGCTGCCTCCGTAAGTTCCGCTGATTGGCTATCCAAGTATTGTGCGTGAAAGTAGACGCACAAACGTTTTTAAAGTGTATTTGCTTCGAAAAAACAATTAGATTATTGGGACTCATAACGCCTTCCCTTTCTTAAAGGGGCACTAAAAAGAATTCGGCGATTCTCTGTTGTTGATCATAACTGATTTTACGGGCCCTGAGCATCCTAAAAATCTAAAAAATTACAATCACTGGACGCCGAATTGTTCATTAAAAACGGGATGAAAGGTCGGTACAGACCCCTTTCTGAGCCGGTCCTTCCGCTGAGCAGACGCGGTGCACATCCCAGCAGCGGTGTCAGCGCAGTGACGATGGGCGCCCGTCGGCCAATCGCAAGCCGCCTCTCTCGGAGAAGCAGTTTGCGATTGAGAGGCGGCTGGCGATTATCCGATAAGCGCCCGTCGTCACCGTGCTGACGTCGCTGCTGTGGTTATACCGCGCCTTTTGCTGAGCCGAAAAATCGGCTCACAAAATGGTGGGTTACGACCATTCATCCTGTTTTTAATTTAAAAAAAAAATGGGCGTCACGTGATTGTATTTTTTTTTTAATTTTTAGGATGCATAGGGCCGGTAGAATCAGTTATGATCAAGAACAGGCGATCGCAGAAACCTTTTCAGTGCCCCTTCGAAGGGATTCTGAACCGACATTTGGATTTCGCAAAATGAAACCGGAGAAGCGTTGAACGGGACGCTATACACTCCAAAACATCACTCATACAACAAAATCTCGAACGAGAAGCCTTTTTTTTTTCTTTTTTGTTTAAGAAGGGCGCGATCAAGCGAGAACTCTGACGTCAGAATGCTCGTGGAGCGGCAGAGAATGAGGGGACGCGGCCTCGCTTCTCTCCTCCTCGCTCCGGTTCGCCAGCTCGACGGGACGAAGCCAGGAGGAGAGGGAATAAGGATCGTGACGTCACACGTCTCAGCGGCCTCGTCTGCCGTGTTCAATCGCGCATTTCTTTTCCGAAAATACCACAATCCGGTAGAGATATCGCTTTATGAGTGGGGTTTTTGGGTACGGCAGCGTCCCGTCTCTCGCTCCAACCGTGTATTGTGAGCTCGAAATTGCGGTTCACCAGCTCTCCGTGATTGTATGCATTGTATCTGGGATGTTCGTGTTTCCTGAAGGCCAAGAAGAAACACGTAAATAAAGGAATCTTGAGGCGCTTTGCTGATGTCGAAGACCAGGAGTGACTCGGATTTCAAAACAACGGACGACTAGAATAATCTACCACAGCTGATACGACTATTCGAGACGCATGAATATCCCAACATAACTTCGCAAGAAGCGTAGGAACATTGATAATATGTTTTTTTTTGTGTATTTTTTTAGATATGCAAGCCAGGCGCATTCCGGCCACTCAAGACATTGACGGCGTCAAGTATGCAACGGTGTACAGGGCCGAGCATGTCCGCCAAGCCCTCAGCTTTATGCCTGAAGATGGCGATATCGTCCTGGTATCGCACGCAAAATGCGGCAACAACTGGCTTCAGCAGATCATGCAACTTATTCTTCACAGGTTCGCTTTTGCGCCATTAAACCGTTAATCATCATCATCATCATCATCATCATTCTTCACAGGTAAGAGGGAACGGTCGGCGACAGAGCTTAACAGAGTGTCGGATGCGGCACAGTTTAAATCCCGACGACTTTTTGTCTCAATTTACAATCGCTACCACTTCTTGCCTCGCGCCTTCCGGCGATAGAATTGTTCTCGCAGCGCCATGTATAGTTCTTAAAGTCTCGGAAACTATTCGTCGAGAGACTGAGGGAAACGTGGAGGAGAGATATCGTGGGGAAGTCAGAGCGCCGCGCTCTGCTGGGAACAATTAATGGGAGACCCTAATCTAGTTCCCCTTGCCTTCACTGCACTCGCAGAGCTAGTTCGAATGTAAAAGCCAAACGCCGGACGCCGGCGTCCGGAGGTCCGACATTAGCACCGGAGAAAAACGTAGCGCGCCTTATGGTCTACCGACTAATGATTCCAACCAGAGCTCGGCATCCTGACGTCCTGGAGCACTCTCTTCTCCTCCTCTCCTTTCTCAGTTTCTCGACGCATAGTACGAACATTATTTCGGGGCATATTTGAGTTGTCAAAGCATGAATACCACGCACACAAACGGAGTGAGCGTTCGCTGCGTTTTGTCTTACACAGAGGACAGTCTGCCCAAAGCCTAGAAGAGTTCAGCCGAAGGACACCGTTCCTCGAGTTACTGGGCACAGGACCGGTGAAGCGCATGCTGCCACCTCGCTTCATGAAGACACACTTTCCTTACTGGGAACAGCCGATGAACCATAACGCCAAGTATGTTTACATCACCAGAAATCCTCTGGACGTCTGCACGTCCTTCTATCATTACACTAAATCCATGCCGGTGTACAAGTTTCAAGACGGTACCTTCGACGACTTCTTCGAGCTCTTTGTGACGGGCGAGAACGTCCGCGGCGACTTCTTCGACCACCTAAAGTCATGGTACGAGCACAAGGACGACGCGAATGTCTTCTTGGTAACTTACGAGGAACTTAAGAGGAACTTTAGAGACACTTTATTGAGGCTCGCTCGCTTCCTCGGCGAAGAGTACGCGCAGCAATTAGAGGATGACGATAGTTTCTACAAGGTGGTCTTTGAGAAAAGCAGTGTCCCGTTTATGTCCAAGCTCATGGACATGACTAGTGTCAGTATGGATTCCTCAGAAAAAAAGGACGACGACCCTTACTTAAGCGCTCTAAAAAAATTTGTGTGCGACGATTCTGGCACGGTACGCTTCACGAATCATGTTCGTAAAGCGACTTTGGGCGATTGGAAGTCGCTTTTCAAGCCCCAGCATTTGGAACGTCTCCGGCTTAGAATCCAAGAGAGAGAAGTGGCCACCATTCTCAAAGCTCTGTGGAGTTCCGAAGATTTGGGAAGCATTGTTTAGATATAAGACCAGCACATGTTGTTCTGACATTTTTTAGTGTGCTCAGCTTCAAGCTTCGGATATTAATGCACTTGAAACTTGCGACCTAAATAAATATCATTCGATTATTTTTCAACATATATGAACTCGCTTTGTCTTTTGATTTGAGAAGAATATGCGAAGTTGCTCGCTTGTAGAACTTTTTCGTTGCCGATTTGTGCCTAGTCGATACATTTTTGTTTCGGGAGGTATTGCAATGCAGTGTGAAATGAACGTTATGTTGTCACATACAGTTGCCGAGAAATATTGAACAGTAATAGTGCTCGAACGGCCGAGCAGCCTGCATGTGACCTTCCTCTGAATACGCTTGGGTCACATGCAGCAGAATTCTGTAAAAAAATTGCTAGAAAAAAGTAAGTAATTACAGTTTTCGTGGCCACAAAATTCTCTATTAAGCGAACGCGCGATTTTTTTCTTCACCGCCAACTACATGTGGCAGTCTATTAGGTAATATAATTAAGTTCGAAGTTCAAGGAAAAATTCAAGAATTTATAGTTGCTGTCCCTTTTTTTTTCAGCGCGATTGTACATGTGCCTTATTTCGAAGGCTATGGAAATGTGTTGAAAAACGTATTTCACTACAGTACCTAGCACGGTCTCCTGTCATGGCCACGTAAAGCTCCAGTAAGCGAACGTGTGTTTTTATTTTTTATTTTTTTTTTATTTTTCCGCACTCTACTTGCTGCAGTATATAATGTGAAACAGAAAATTTAGTTCTGTCGAGTTGAAGCACACGTGCAAAACTATATTTTGCTCTTTCTTTTTTTCCGAGCGCATCTGTACTTTTGCCGTTTTGCGAAGGATATGAAATTGGGTTGACATTCGACTTGAATTGCAATAATTATCGCAGTCTCTAGGGATTAATAAAAACTACATCCAAGCAAATAGTTATCTTGCTTAAACCAGAAGTAGTCGCATTATTAACTCAACATGATAATGGAGTAGGATACTAATAATTACCCTATTTTTGGCAAATAATTATTTAGCTCGATATATGTATGGTAGTTATCAAGTCTTCAGTTTTATACAGGTTGTTCCTTAAACCACTGCAGTAAAGTGTTCAGAAGCTCATAAAAAAAATGTTCACGAATTATTGGTTTGGGCTAAGCGGCTAGTTAGGAAAATGAACGACGATCGGTATAGTTAAGTTTATAATTAATTTCAAGTACTTAGCTTTTAACTTACAAATTTGAAGAAATGATGCCAATCAGAACCTTTCCTGGTGTAATTGTAAACACCTAAAATAGCAGACATTCCAAAAATATAAGGCAAGCGAAGCGTTTTACAGCGTTCAGAAAAAGGCCGCATTTTGAAGTCACGGTATCCTATCAACGCGCCTCTCTAAGGAGGCGGTCCTGCTCCTACGTGGCCAAAATGTCCAATAAGCGTGAAATGTGGGCAATGTTCGCATGAAGGAGGTCAACCCAAATATCTAAACTTTATTTTTGTTTTCTTCGAAAAGCATAGCTTTTTGTTTTGCCAGTTCGGATTCAACTTCCTTTACTCCTACGAGAGGGCTTCGGCCAAGGGTAGCGGGACAACTGGAGCAAGAATGCGCTTTGTTAGGAAGCCGAAACCTAGAAAGGTGTAACCCTTTAATGTTGTAGGGCACGCTGTAGAATCCTGCACGTGCCTTGTATACTTGGAAACTGCACGAATTTCGTCTTTTGCCATAATATCCGAAGCTTTTAAATAAACATACACTTTATAATTAAAATTTTATTACTCTAAAGTAATTAAAAACTTTATTAAATCGCGAGTTAATAATCTTCCCAATAGGCCGTTATGCAGAATCTAGTTTAATAATAATTCTCTTTTTGCTTTTCTTTTAGATGCGTACTTTTTGCAGTAGTAATCAGTTCCGTTAGAAGTTGTAATACTATAATACCACTAATAAAATGGATATTAATTTTACTGCTACCTCTCGGTTTTATCCCTTCAATATTTGTATGTATTTTATGTGGGAATTTAGAAGCGCTTGACTGGAGCTCAACTTCCACCTCACCTTAAACGCGCAAGCTCGAAAAGAAGCCATAAGGCTTCGATTGAACATTTGCGTCGTTTGAACTCGAATGACAGCATTCCGATACCAGAGAGCAGTCTTGGGTAAGTTACTTTTAAAAAGTAATTCGTTACAGTTACAGTTACGTCTAGAAAAAAAGTACCGAAGTTACCGTTACAGTTACTACAACAAAAGAGTAACTCGTTACAGTTCCAGTTACTTTAAAAAAGTAACGACGTTACTTTTCAGTTACTTTTCGATAACACAAAAAAGTTAGGAAACACTAGTGTCTGAAAGAAAAAATATATATACACGAATCAGTCAGGCTTCCACCATAGCGGTAAATTCGAACTTTATAGTTTAGCTGGAAAATTAGTCAATATTATAAAAAGAATAAAGTCCAAAATTCAACTAAATGTGTTTTCTCAGATTTGAACACAAAGACTTGTTTTCGGAGTACTCCTTGTTGCAAAGTTTGCATACTGCGGTCAAATTGTTAGCAACCCCCTTCACCACAGCAAAATACTGTCTGTACGCCGTTCATGCTAGATCTTTGTTCTAATCAATATTCCTATTCTTGGTAGCACTAGCACATTGCTTGCTCGTTGACGGTTGCGCTGGGTTCATGGAGTCCTTGGACATATTTCAGTACGTACACGGCAAGCCAGAAACAAACCCCGCGCATAGAACAGTAAATTTTGCCTCCATGTTGTCACCACGCCGGAGTAGGGGCACAAATCAAAATAAGAAACATACGAAGTGCCCTCCGCGTGCATTGGTGTTTCACGTTTGATTCACCCAAATAAAAAACGTGCGCAAAAAAAAAAAAACGCAACAGAGATAGTGCTTCAAGATACTAAGATGTAAGTGTTCAGTCACAAAGTACAAGTACGTGCGTAAAGATAACCAGATTCTTCTTTTCTTCTTTTCTTCAATCAAATCTACACGTGGCTATATTCGGGTCGTGACTCGCGAGAAAGAACGTATTCCAAAGTTTGTGCAAATCAAACTGGCATTCGAAATGTCCGAAGAGACAATATTGAAAGTGCAAGAAATAGCTAGATTATACTCGTTCAATGATATATCATTCATAAAGAACTGAAAAGTAACGACAAAAGTAACGTCTTTACTTTCATAGTTACCTCAGAAAAAAGTAATAGAACTACAGTTACAAGTTACATTTTAAAAAAAGTAACTCGTTACAGTTACAAATTACCCAAAAAGTATCGAAATTACAGCAACGCGTTACTAGTAACGCGTTACTACCCAAGACTGCCAGAGAGTAACTTCAATACAGTGATTCAATATACCCTGGCTATTACAACGAGATGCTTTACTTGCATGTGTATCAGACATCCACGCATATTCACTGACTCAGAGTTAGTACACATGAGCCATACCAATTTTAAAATACCATGTACAAAGTAGCTGCCTCATATCATTTATCTAGATATATCAAATTTGATTGTTAACGTGCGTAAATGTCCCAAAGGCAAAGTTGCTGGTAAATCAAATTGATTGCATTAAAAACACAGTAAAAGCACCGTAAGTTTATTAACATAGCTAAACTTAATATACTGTAGGATTGGGAAGAAACGTAAAAGTGCAAACATATAAAAAGGCGATGTGTGAGCATGTGTGCATCTGTGTGTGTGTGTGTGTGTTTGTGACTTTCGTTTGACGTGTATCTGTCCTCTGTTTGAACCTCAGGTGTAATTGCGGTAATTAGTCCTACCTGCCTGCCCGCGCAAACGTTTTTCCTTTTGCGAAAGATCTATGCCAAATCTTACATAAACTAGACAAGTTACAGAAGAACCATTCAGCCAAAGCCCGAAATTGCCTTAAATTTACGAAAGAAAATCAAACGTCGCAGTTGTTTGCGATCTTGATATATACATTTTAAATACTCGCTTCGAGTCGCTGGGAAACTATTGCTAAAATTGTAAAAACAGGAATTTTGAGGGATCCTTTTTTTCACTCCAGACAAGCTTTGCTCTTTTAGAGAAACAAAAACCGTCAGCTCCTGAGCTTATTTCATTTTTCTAATTGTATAATAGTTTATATTATTGTTTTCACAATCCAGCTTTATAGAAGAATCCTGCGTGGACGTTGCTTTCTCGTATCTGTCGCGTCGTAGCAAGGCCATTGAGGAGAGCGTCGCCAGCGGGGCGGTGGGTTCGACGTGATAGCGCGCGAGGCCAAAAGTGTAGTGCCGCGCGGAGTGTGGGCGGTGAGCGGTGCGTTAACACTCCCTTTCTCTCCCACCCCCAACTCCGGAACATGGGAACGGGGCGGGTGTAGTAGGAAATGCGTATTAGTAGAAAAACTCCGTAGTCGCGGAGGAATTCCAAAGAAAACGATGCCCCCGAGTAGTCGGGCGTGGACGAAAAATACGAGAGGTATTTTATGCATTCGCAATTCTTTTTCCACGTGTCATATTGCCCACCATTCCGATTGAAAGTGGTGCGCGCTAAAACTCATCAAATGTTACCGCACCGGCATTGCGTTTGTTTTTCGTGTGGTTCCTCTTAATATTCTCGTCATTTTCTTTTATTGCCATCGTATTTGTTGCTTTTACTTTAGGATGCCATTATTCTGTTCTTGATACTTACCCTCTCATATTGTGAATATAATTGCTTATAATATAGTGAATAGTGTTTTTATTTAATTGTAAATCGTGACGATATTTCGTTTCCCTATGGTTTCTGTTATCGAGCTCGTTTGGTTAATATCGTTATTATTGCTGATGTGGTCGTTGTTGGTATATATAATATTGTATCGCTGTTATTCTTCTCGCTCTATATTTTGTTCCACTCCATGTCTAAATGCAGTTGACTCTTCGCTCCGATGCATTCTGTCAATCAAGCAGCGCGAAAGGTGCATCGTCACAGCGTCTGCCTTCTTTCTGCGTCTGCTTTCACTCTCTAAGCCAAACAAATAGAGGTAATCGACCCTCATCTTGTACTT